CTTTACTGATGCTGTGCTTACGTATGATGTACTGTTGTTGTTGATGTCATTGTCGTAGGTGATAAAGAGTTAATTCAGGAGGTCCTGTTTGATGCTGTGGTGACCGCACCAATAGAAGCTTACTGGACCAGTCTGGCTCTCAATAAATCAGAGTATGAAGACATATTGCACACAAAATCACACGTGCATACGCCAACACACATAACCTACCCCACTACGCCAAAAACTTAGACTTGAAATCAATTGATATCTACCACACAAATCTACATAGTCCACCAAAGTACAATAAGATGTAAGCCCATTTTCAATAATAAGGGAAGCTCAGTGGTTATGGGCCTGACTAGAGGGTTAGGAGTTTAAATATTAACGCAGCCAGAGAGTTGGACCGTTGAGCAAGTCTTTTAAATGTTGGGATTTGAAATGAAGGCTTTTCATTGCATTATATACATATGCAGGACAAAAATGTAAAATCCTTCTAAAAGAAATAGCTTCCCAGTGGTAGGGTACATGGACCGATCTTAAATAGATGTAGAAGTCGTGTTCAGGAAAACTTGAATGGAAATGTCCTTTTTCACTGTGTTACAGGAACTCTGATAAAGGTGTGGAGATAGCTTACCTCGGCACACGGACTGGCTTGTCACGTATCAACTTATTTGTGATGCCATACCAATTAAGCAATCAGTAAGCATGTCCCAGTTATTCACAAAGAATTTATGCCTGCCATGCAAGATTATGTTGATAAGTGATGTAGATTTTGCTTTGGAAGTGATCTGGAGAGTCAGGTTTTGTATAGCATTTTTTAAAGCTTTCTAAAATGTTGCATTTGATGTTTAGTACAAACTGCTATGCATATGTTCTGATACACTCTCATTTCTAGAAATATAACAATTGGAATTGGCTTATTTTGTAAAGTAACAGCTATAACAGCATAAGTAACCTATGTGTGCTGTGTGTTCTAAGAGACTTCCTGACGGCTGAGGATAAAGAGGGTGTGTTCAATGCTGATCATTTTCCCCTGTGGTACAAAAGGGCAGCGGAACAAGTGCCAGGCACCTTCGTCTACTCACTTCCATTTAATACAGGCAAGAGAAACACATGAAACAAGAGTGACAAGTGACACACACACACACACACACACACACATGCAAATTTTCACCCATACCCATTCTTTCTTTTTAAAATAGTGCCTCACTGTGGTAGGCAAGAAAAAATACATGAAAACGAAAACAAGAAAAATCAAAAGAGACATGTTCTATACCCCAGAGCCTCAAACAAACCAGTAAAAACAGGATTTGACTTGTCTTTGATTGCTCTGTATTTAATTTAATTGCATTAAAATGGCTTTGTTTTTTATCTTATAGTTTTGCCTTACAATTGGCTTATATTAGCTGATATTCGTTTGCAGCATATTGCAACCAAATGTCCCTTAATAAGAAACAGAAGTAGTAGAAGTAAAAGAATAGGAAAATACTCAAATACTCTCTTGAAAAAATGTTTTTTTTTTTAACTGTAGTTCACTTTTTCTGTGGCACTGCAGGATTAAAGCGTAAAGCATAAGCAAATTTGGCCTATTGGCTTGGGTGAATCCCCACTGAGAGAAGATGCAATCTGCGGTCTTAAATGCGCTCCAGTTGTTTTAGATATTTAATCTCTGTGAGTGTTTCTTATTGACGTCCAAATGCATGATGGTGAATGTTGACAAGGCAAGTCATAAACCAACCTCAAGGATAAACCCAAAACTTTTCAGTGGGTTTAACAACAAAAAAGCATCCTCTCTTCTTCTAGCTCTTGTTCTAATTTGTGTTCTTTGTACTCGTTTCTTTTTTGCTCGGTTTGATGTGTTTGTATAAATTGGGCATTTTAGAGATTTAAAATGGGATATGTTAGGTTTGCTCTCTCCCTTGCTGTGTATTAGAAAAGCATGTTTGGAGCACATTTTATCCTTCAGGACATCTCTTTGGCTTTTGGTAATATGTCTAAGAGAAAGAACCCATGTCTCTAAAGGAAGCCATTTCAGAAGCACCAGATGTTCACAGTGTGACTCTATGACTAAGTCATCCTCAAAATAATATTATATACTGTATGCAATGTGCACAAGTGTGCTATGCGTGGTATGTTTAACAAAGCACCAGAAATAAAAAAAAAAATCGTGATATGTGTGTGTGATCCCAGGTTCTGAAAATAAGAGTGTTGTACTGGCCAGCACTGCCATTCAGCTACTGGATGAGAGGAAGTCACCAATTGCTGCAGGTAGGACTTTGTAATTTGGGTTTGTGTGTAGGAACTGTGTAATAATACCTTATATTGCAGTGCAGTATTCCAGTGTAAGAAACAGAGTAGCTTGTATTACATGTAGCTACAAGATACTAAATATGGAAATATTGGTAACTGCAGTATGTAATCCAATGCCACACCCAAATTCCACAATAGGTTTACTTGTTGTGAAATAATTAAATATCATAAATAGTGGCATATTCAACACCAGAGCTGATTCAGTAGGACTCAGAGTAAAATAGAGGAATATAAAATAATAGGAATTCACACAGGTCAGTATAAAGAAAACTTAATGGTAATGTTAGCACTCAAGGCAGTATTTGGGGTGCTATTTGTGGTACTACTTTATGTATATATATTAAATATATTTTTCCCCACATGCCATGAACTTGTGTTTAAGCCTCATCATGTTTAACGGTACTTATGAACATGCATGAAAACTTATGTCAGAGAAGTGCATTAATTAAGTTCAATATTAAACCTATAAATTCATTTTAGAATAAATAGTTTAACTACTAAGATGATAATAAACTAATACACACCTATATGGCTCACAATCCATTTGATTAATATATGAAACCTTATAAAATTCTATGTAATTAAGTTGAAGTACAATGGAATAGGCAAGTTAAAGTGAAATGGACCAATTGTATTGCAGCTCATCACCTCAAGAATGAAAGTGAACTTACATACCCTTTTATAATAGGGCATGTGACTGCGCTCAGAATTAACCAATCACGTTCAAACTCATGTTCAAAAGTAACTGTCGTACAATATCATCAACAAAGTGATTCTGATTAACCCCAAATAAAGATTAGCTGTTTCTGTAGGATTTTCTTGACATCTTCTTGGTTTCATTTGGCTGCTGAAGCCATGGCCTGCAAAGAGCTTACAAAGCATCTCATAGTTGAAAGATATTGATCATAAGAGGGGTACAAATGAATTCCCAAAACATTAGATGGTCATAGAACACAGTTAAGGCTGTCATCAACAAGTGGAGAAAATGGGGCACCACAGTGACATTACCAAGAATAGGATGTCCCTCCAAAATTGATGAAAGGACAAGAAGAAATCTTGGCTGCCGAGAGACCAACGGCAACATTAAAGGAGACACAGGAATATCTGGCAAGTGCTGCTCCTGTGTGTAATAACAGTCTCTCATTTTCTTCAAATGACTGGGCTATGGGTTAGGGTGGCTAGACAGAAGCCCTTTCACACGAGAACAAAAAAAAAACATCCAAGCCTGCTAAAATTACCCGAACCATGTGGCAAAATGTGTTAAGATCTGATGAGACCAAGGTAGAACTTTTTGGGCATAATTCTAAAGGATATATTTGGTGCAAAATCAAGACAGCTCATCACCCAAAGAAAACCATACCCATGCTGAAGCATGGTGGTGGCAGCAGCTTGCTATGGGGTTCCTTCTCTTCAGCTGGGACTGGAGCTCAAAATAGAAGGACTCATGGATAGCCCCAAATACCAGTCTATTTTGGCACAAACCCTGCAGGCCTCTGTTAGACAGCTGAAGATGAAGAAAAATTTCACCTTCCAGCATGATAATGACCCAAAGCACAAATCCAAGTCAGCAAAACAATGGCTTCAGAAAAAGATCAATAGGGCCTTTCGCACCGCTTTAGTTCCAGAACTAAATTTACAGTACTAGTACTTTAAATTTAAGTACTGGGCGATTTTGCGCGAACTATTTCCCAGTACCGTTTAAAGGGTTGCATTCGCACCGACAGTGGGCACTAGGAAGTGACGTAAGCCGGTCGACAGCGATGTCATTTGTGCGCGGCGTTCAACAACGGAAACAAAGAAGAACAACGTAAACAACTGGAGGATGGAGGACGCTGTGATCGGAGCTGTGTTTTTGTTGTGTCTCGCGTCCATCTATCGCTGTTCTCCATACTTGCGAAATAAGTTGACACTACAGTATGTTTACACAGCGTTTTAAATCATGGCGGTTGAGGGCGTTTTCATACGCGTTTGGCCAATCAACGTCTACTTACGTCACGGATAGTACCAGTTGTGCTGGTTAGACCCTGCTCCAGAGTAGGAGCTAATTTGGTTCTCGAAAAAGGCAGTCCGGTACTAAAATCGCACCCAGTTCCGGAGATGCGAAAACGCCAAAAAGTGGGTAGTTCCACAATTAGTTCAGGTACTATGAAAAGGTTCCCGCGGTGCGAAAGGCCCTAATGTTTTGGAATGGTCCTGTCAGAGTCCAGATCTAAATCCTAACAAAAACCTGTGGAATGACTTAAAGAGGGCTGTGCAAAGGAGATCCCCTCTCAATTTGTTAGATCTGGACCATTTCTGCAAGGAAGATTGAGATAAAATTGCCAAATTAAGATGTGCTAAGTTGTTAGACTCTTACCCAAAAAGACGAGTGCTGTATTACAAGCAAAAGGTGCTTTAACAAAGTATTAGTTAAGGGGCGTGCACACTTATGCAACAAGGTTTTGCAGGGTTTTTCTCTTTTTTTTTCCTTAAAACCTTTCTATTTGTTTTTCACCTGAATTTTGTTGGTAGCTCTATCACATTGTTGTTGTTCTTCTTTCGGCTGCTCCTGTTAGGGGTCGCCACAGCAGATCATTGGTCAGCATATTTGATGTGGTGCAGTTTGTATGCCAGATGCCCTTCCTGATGCAACCCTTTCCAATTTTATCTGGGCTTGGGACCAGCACTGGGAGTGCACTGTCGTGTGCAACCCCAATGGCTGGAGTTGGGTCCCTGGCTGGGAATTGAACCCGGGACGTGGCGGTGAGAGCACCATTGCCTAACCACTAGTCCTCCAGGGACCTGGTAGCTATATCCCATTAAAGGTGGCACAAAAGGTCTGACATGATATATCTTGGTTTCATTTTTTTTTTTTTTACATCACAAAAACCAGAAAATTTAACAGGGGTGTGTAGAGGTTTTATATCCATTGTATATCTGATATTAGTTTGTGGTATAAAGTTCTTTCCTACTGTATTTTGCTTTATTGTATTATTGTATAGCAACAAGGTTCAACAGTGTCAGTGTGCATCAGGTGCATTTTTATTCTGAATTGCACAAGGGAAAAATGCATGTAGGTGCTTTTGGGAATGTAACAAGTCACGATGTAAAAGGTCACTTTACTATACCACAAGGATTGAGAGGGGAGAGGTGGAAGGAAGAGTAGAGCAAGTAGATAGGAAAGTGAAGGAGGTAAAGAATAAAAGGAGAGGGTGCGAGGGATGAAGAAAGACACAAATAGATAAAGGCTTCCTACACCCCCCTACACATGCACACACAAATGAAGACCTTTTTCAACAAATTGAAATATTTAATCTTAAACACATCTTTTTAGTATACATATCTGTTAAAATACACATATATTATTCATAAATAAATAATATACATCAGCAATATTCTCTCTGTTAACATAAACAAAACTTAAAAACCTATACCTTCACACACACACACAAATACACACACACACAAATCAGTCATATGGCAATATGGTTCAGGGTAGAGTTTTGCATAGATGGTGCTTTTTGTACACTTATTTGCTTGATAATTAGGTACACCATATACCTTCATCCATTGTTATAAAATTACTTACTATGGCTTATTTGAGATTACGTACTATTTGTCAGTTCCCTCAATCCAGTCCATAATTGGAAAATGGACCACTACAGCACCACCACAAACCAGATATTATTTGGCATTGTAGTTCTTATAGTACTGCTATTAGTGTATTAGTGTATGTAGTGTAATGCTGGGGTCTGTGTATTATTATTATTGGTGCACTATTCTCAACTAGGGGTTGCATGGAATAATATATTCACTAGACGCTGTTGTGGGGATGCTGACTAGTCAAAAAACAAAAAAACAAACAGTTACGTAGATGTTAGGAGATGCAAGCAGATGGTAAAGAAAGCAGCTCAATGTATTTTGTTAGTCTGAAAATATTTCAGACTAGATGAGGTAAATTCTGCAGTCAAATGCACAAGATTATGCTGCGAATTTTTTTGCTTAATGGTTGACACTTTGATATCACTCTGTGTGAAGTGGAGAGGTGTATGCGAGCTGTGTTTTTTTTAATCCTACTCCCACCTGCTCCCAAAGTAATTCCTCCTGCAGTATTTTTCTCTGTCCTTTAAAGGTAACTGAAATGTAAATAAAATCCTTGCAGTGTGGCATAGTGAATTTCGTCATACACCAGCAGTGTGTGAAAGAGCGCTTTTCGAGCCGTGGGTTGCACATCACTGTCCAATCCCACTTAGCTAGCTTAGCTTTAGATAAGTGAAGCATTCCGGCTCAGAAAGGCTGATCCAGAGTCCTTTTTTCGGATGCTACTGAGGCTGGAGTTGAACATGGTGGAAAAACCTCCCAGTTGCTGTTGTAAACATCACATCCTGCATTCATCATTAAAGTATAAGCAGCTTCTGTGCTGTGTGCCCTCAGTTTCAGAATCTACATTTTTAGCTGAGCAGCTGACTCGTCCATGAGTGCAGTTTAAGAATTATTAATACCTTAAATAGCGTAATATTATACACAGATTTCTTATTTTACACATTTATTCATTGTTAATAGTACGACCTAAAAAGCATTGAAGCTAGAAATTTTATTTGTACCTGATGTATGGTTGTTCACTGAAGTGTGGTTTGATTTGTTCTTTGCTGCACAAATATAAGAGGCTAAAATTAGCGATGTCCTTAAACAGTTTTTGCTTTAACTATGGAAATGATGACTAGTCAATTAGTTGACTTCTTTTCGAATTACTGGTCGACTAGTAAATAATTAATAGTCATGCACCCCTTTCCTCAACCTAGCAGTTACATTGAGGTGTTTCAAAATTCCAGCAATGCTGCGTCACCTGATACATTCAAACCAGTGCAACACACTCGACCATGTCAGTGTCACTGCTGTGCTGAGAATGAGAATGGTCCATCACCCAAAAAATATCTAGTGGTGGTCCATTTCCATTGATGGTTATGGTAGAGGGGGGCTGACAAATGGATGAGCTACAGTCAGTAATTTTTACCTATAAAGTACACGTATTGGAAGGAAGAAGGGAAGGAGGTAAAGAAAAGATATTACTTCAGTGTTCTTTAGTTTTTTAGTTCAGTTATGGGAAGAAAACAGAGCTGTACATGGTGTTCCATTCTCAGATAGAAACATATTAATGCCTGTCATGTAGCACTGAGGTTTACTGTACAACATATTCTGTAAATAATTTGATGCTGAGATAGGACTGAGTGCAAGGGTAAGGAGCTTACACACACACACATGCACACACACACACACACACACACACACACACACACACACACTAGCCAGTCAGAGCTTGAGTTTATAGACCGCCCCAATGAGCTTTCACCTCATGAGCATTTGCTAGCACTAACATAAGCCGACAAGCTGATGACATCACACTCCAAGGGCAACTAAAGCATGTGTGTGTGTGTGAGTGTGACAACAAATCTTGGCTTAGCAGCCTTGTTTGCAGCCTGTTGGCTTTTTTTTTTTTTTACTAAAAACATCATGCCTGATTTGATTGTGTGTGTGTGTGTGTGTGTGTGTGTGTCTCACGTTATATAAGAACCCCATGCCCTTCACATCCCCTTTCACATCCATATGTATGAGTATGTGCAATCTACCTCTTTGTGAGGGTTTTTGTGCAAACTGCAAATAGTTTTAAATAATAAACTCTTATCGGTCTATCTAAATTAGTCAAAGGTTGAGTTAGAAATGTTGATGAAGTACAGTACAGCACACACATGCACAAAAACTAGGACGTATGCATAGTAGAAGCTGCCTACTTAACCTGATAATAAACAGCCCAAATGAACCCTAAACAGAAACTGAAAACCACTATGATACTCAAAAGATTTACATATTGTCATTAAATGCACTTACATTAGACAAAATATACCCCCAGATGTATAGTTAGAGCTTGTTGATATGTATCCGGTATCTTTGGCCTCATTGTATCTCTGAACGTACAGTCAAGTCTATAATTATTGGCACCCTTTATAAAAATGAGCAAACATGTATGTGTGTGTATGTGTATAACATGCAATAGATATATTGAGCTTAACCAAATGAGAGCTGCTTCTTATTATTATTATAATAGCAGCCATCCTATTGCTTTAATGTTTAACATGGTTGAAGACACTTGAACTCCTTGTATTCTTAGATTTGAGCTTTTTAAATCTAGATACTGAGATGGTCACTAGCAAACACTGATGCTGTGTGCCACAACCATTTCTCTGTTGATTTGGATGTATGTTTGATGCCAGTGTCTTGTTGAAAAATCTGTTTATGGTGGTGTCTTAATTTCCTGGCAGAGGCAATCAGGAATCCGTGTATATGGTCCCCTTCAAAAAGAAATGCACAGATAAGTAGTTTGATTTGGTCTCATCCACCTACAACACACAATTCCAGTTGTAGTTCCAATTGGATGAATTTCTGATGCTGCATTTTGTGAAGTGCTCTCAGGAGGGTTTCTATCTTGCCACCAGATAATTTGATGGCGGTGTCTAATAGCTGATTTTGAAACGTGACAACCCCAAGAATGAAATAAACGGTGCAGTTCTGAAAATGTGGTCTTCGGGTTTGTCGTTTTTGTCTACATTACCATCCTACTCACTGTGCATGAGGGTAATATGCAGCCAGTTATTGGCAGATTTTGAACTGCTTAGGCTTTTTAAATTTTGCTTTGTGTTCTGTGGTTTTTCCCATGGTGATGGATGGCAAAGGGATTTTGTAACCTTGTAATTATACACCAGGGAATTCTGTGACATCAGTAGCTTTCCCAGAGTCTTCAGTGGCATCAATAGATTTCCTAGAGGGGGCAATTGAAAAACTATATTATTTTATTTATATTCTATTTGCATTTACTGTACTTTAAATATTAAATAGTAAAAATGCTATTATTTACAAAAAGGAGATGAGACTGACTGTTGTTAGAGGTAGTTCGTTTCATTAATTGTTTGAATGGATGATTTGAATTATTTTGTGAAATGCTTATTTAGCATAATCATTTTGTTCATTTTCATTAAGGATGCCAATATAATTTTTTATTTTTGACTGTACTGTGGCTATACTGCATTATAGAACATGTATCTTCTTTCCCTTTCAACTTCCCATTTAGAGAGGACAATGTATGGAATGAGTGATACAGTAGATGACAAAGCAGAAATCAAGTAACCGTTTGTCCGTCTGAGAAGATATCACAATAGTTGTGATAAATCCTATGAGTGTAATAAAACCCATCCAGATCCCTAAGTATGTGTGTAGCTCTATCTTACAATTTTTTAAAGAGTTTGCCATGCAAGAGGCTTGGCTATATAATATCCCTGGGTGAGGTATGAGTATTATTGCATCTCTCTCTCTCTCTCATAATACTCTTTTTCACGCTATGGCATTTTCCAGCTGCTCTTTCTCCCGTTCCCTGTCCGTGTTCTCTCTCTCTATTCTTCCAGCCTCCTCTTCCCGTTTCTTTAGCTCCCGCTGGTATTTAGCCATGATGGCAGCATAGGCACACCCGTACACGGCAGCAGCCAGCATCATGAGACACACAACTCCACACACAATGCCGGTGATGATCACTGTAGCTATGGCATGACGCAGGTTCATGGGTCGTGGTTTTGGCTTGGGTTCGCACTCCGGTTCCTGATCAAGTGGAGCATCCAGGCTCGGGTATGGGACACCACGAAGCAACCGCTGCTGTCTCTCTATGTGCTGGATGTTGGCAAACAAGTAGCTGTAGCTGGTGCTCATGCAGTTGTGGAAGAGCTCATAGGGCACATGGCGGAGGTCACGGTCGCGC